GGGGTCTCAGGGACGGGCAGTGACAGTCGGTCCGTTCTTCTATATGTCTGTCGGTCTCAAATCTAAAGGGTGCAATAACGATTTAAAAAAAACACACTTTATAAAGTCAGGCAACACTAACCAGGCTTAGTGTGATTCTGTTTATGTGTACCTTACTTTGACCATCCGTTCGCTGTTATTGATCATTGTGGAGAGCAGGCAGACGTTTTGTTTTGTATTATAGCAGCTATCGGATGGAATCAATACATGGGCTGTACAGGTTGTCATGTCCGACTATCACAAGTAGAATCATAATGAAAAATACGCCGGTAAAATATGCCTGTAGAAAACAGCAACGGCAACTAGGATAGCAACAAGCAGTCAATATAGTCAGTTTAGCTTCGGTTGCTATGCTAACATCACCCATTTTATACCAGAGAAACTTTCATAACAGCGTTGTGATGCCAAACAGCGGGCAGCACTGCAGCGGTCGGTAAATGCCGCTGAAACACATTGATAAACAATGAACCACGGCACTCTGGAGAAAAGTATAAGCTACCAAGTTACCAACTTGGCTGCCGGAAGAGAGTACCAACGTTAATCGGCGATACTCCTGGCGACTAAAAGTGGCTTTTGTCATGATAAAAATAAAGTATTATTCTATCAATATGACAATAGAGACATGTGCATAAACAACAAAAACACTTGCAGCTGAAAACATTTTAAGAATAGTAGGGCATAATGTTCTAACAATGTTATCAAAAACATCTTAAGAAGGTTATCACCAAACATTTTAAGAATGTTTTTAGAGAACGTTATCCTACCTTTCAGAAGAACATTCTGGGAACCAAAATAAAACGTCCCGCTGAAAACGTTTTAAGAATAGTAGGGCATAATAATACTCAACGTATTGAGGATGGATGCACAATGTTCTAACAATGTTACCAAAAACATCTTAAGAAAGTTATCACCAAACATTTTAAGAGTGTTTTTAGAGAACGTTATCCTACCTTTCAGAAAAACATTCTGGGAACCAAAATAAAATGTCCAGCTGAATACAATCCTAGTATAGAATGTTAACAATGAATGTTAACATTCTCAGAATGTTTTTAGAACCAAGAATGTCTAGCTAAGAACTCACACATGCCACCGCAAACATGCAATATCTGCTTACAGCTTATCATGAATTACGTGCTTGTTTGTTTTTTTCAAAAGGAAAATGTGGTGACATCAGATTTGTTTAAAACAACCTTTTCAAACAAATGCAACAACTTGTGTTTTACAACAACTTCTGCTCAATTCTGTTTGTTGTAAAGCACTTTGGCACAAACCTGGTTTGTTTTTTAAAGCGCTCTACAAATAAATCTGACGTTGACGATGCCCGTGTTAATATTTCGCATCACAGGAACGTTTTATAAAAAAAGAATAACCTCCTGAAAACCTATAAAAAACGTTCTGTCATCTCAGGCCTCAATAACATCCTGAACACATTTTCTGAATGTTGCTTTGAAAATGTTCTTCTTTTGTTATCATATAACATTGAGGGAATGTTTTATAAAAGAACATATATAATATGTTACCCCAACAACGTCCAAAAAACATCCTCAGAATGTTGCAGGCAAAACGTTCCACCTTTGTTAACATATCACATTAAAGGAACGTTTTATAAAAAACCTTCTGTCATCTCAGGCCTTAATAACATCCTGAAAACATCCTCTGAATGTTGCAGTTAAAACGTCATGTCTTAGTTAACCTTAAACCTTATAGGAACATTATTTAAAATGATAAACATCCTCAAAAGGTTCTTTGAACATCAGATTAAAACGTTTTCTTTAAAACATTATTAGAACCTGTAGGTAACGTTAGCCAAAGTTGTGAGAACGTTCCCTGCTAGCTGGGTACTTTGTTCCATATAAGTTTGATTGAAGACAACATCTGTCTGGTCCACTGTCTGTCTGTCGGTTGGTGATGCGTCAAGATTTGCTTTACAACTTGTTTATGGTGTGAGACATCAAAAAAGTGATATGTGTGTGTATCTCCTTGATACTCCTTGGGCAGAGTACAGAAACACTGTACAGGTCCTTTTAAAGTTCCCCAAAGATTTCTGTCAGTCGTGCTCGTTCTTAAACAGAGAGAACTTGATAATCTAAAATTGCGCAGAGGTATACATTTTCAAGATGGATGCTATTGGGATTGTTAAACACCGCTAAAGTGTTTAAAATATCTGGTCAAAGTTAACCTATATAAATTGAAACAGAAAAAGAACATTATGATATTAAGACTGATATTAGCCATACAGAATATAGCAAACTATTCCCACAAACCGTATAGTAAAACATTTGTTTAGAGCAGAGACTTGTGAATATGAACACATTACCTTTTATTTATTGACTTCATACAGTGACTGAGTCTCTGCTGGACCGAGCCAGTGTTTGTTATTCATCTTATGAGACTACAGCAGCATCAGCAACACACAGAAAGGCTGTATACACTACTGCTCATATTTAGTTGGCTGTTTTGAGTATTTTGTTTTCTGTGTTTTTAGAGTTCATCATCTCCCACGATGCTGTGCAGTGCATAGTGTTGTGGAACAATTGTCAGTATAATGAACCTGCTATCTATTTCATGTTTGTAACCTCAGAGGAAATAACCTCAATGTAAACATTGCAGTGTGAAATGCCTGCTTTTTTCCACCTTTGACTGCTTCCATTTGTGTGCTTGTTTTGTGTCATTATTGCTGTATTTGGGGGCTGTGCCTCTTGCAAACGTACTGTCACCTGCTACATGATGAACCAAAGACTGAGAATTCCATTTACAATCTGTACATGCGTCTGCTGTAGTGCGTTATATTCACTAATTTAAAAGATAACTGTTTATATTTTATGTTTTTCATGACAACAAATCACAATAAAACTCCAAAACCAACAGTGAATTTATCTACTAACACAAGTAATGTGTCTGTTTCATGGTCTACTTTATCTTCTTGTTTTGTGCCATAGAGCTCCATCAAAAACTATTGAAAACACATCAATGAGCAACAATGTTGAACTGGGTGTTTAACTTTGGTTTATATTTTACACATGGTCAACTAACACCAGTAATATCAATTAAATTCTGCCTGTCAGTTTCAAATTCAAAAATAATGTTGCTTTCAGGACAGCTGTGAAAACTGGTTCTCTGCACGAGGAACTGATATAGAAAATAAAAAAGAATAGAAGAGAACTCAAATGTCTGAATGTTTGTACTCACATGTATCAATTACAAATTAAAACTCTGTGGGTGTTACCTTCTGTAAATGATTCATGTTTTAATCACTCTGCTCCTACCTGAGGATGTTAGGTTTACAAGTGTTCAACTTATATAATTAACCGACTGTGGGGATCAGTCAGGCCTCCTTCATTCCAGAGGGGTCACCGCCCAGATATTCAGGTACAGACAACAAACACATCTTTCACCTGGTGCCGCCTCTCAGTGAGCGAAGTGTTTCTGTGGCAGCAGCCGAGGCAAATAGAACATGGCGCTGACTCATAGGAATAATACAATTACGGTACATTTCTATTTGCCCAACAGGGTGGGTTGCGCATGGCGTCAGCGTTCCCTTGTGACTGAATAGGGTTCTTTTAAGGATCTCTTGCACCCCACCCATAACACACACCGGTTCACCTCTCCGCCCCGGGCCTCAGGATGAATCGTTTCTCTCTGCTCTCAACATGTTTTGCACTTGCTAATTAGTGGAAAACAGACAAATGTTGTAACCTAAAACATATTGCTAAGTGTTTCCTGCTATGAGCAGCAACATTAGAAAGACTAACATTATTGTCAAACTATGAGACTGAAGCACCTGAATCTCAACCCTTAAATAAATCAGAAAAAGGTTTATTCAAATAACTGAAATAAAAATTATAGCAATATGTCAAATAATAACATGCACAGGGGAGAAACTGCTGAATTTGTTATGATGATGATGAGAGAATCACTAGTCTGTCTGTTCACTAAATATAAACTATCGGTTAGCTTGCCATATTTTTAAATGTAATTTTCTCCTCTCTAGCAACATATTTGTCTGACAGAAATGGCAGAAGTAATGTCACAGTGAAACAGCAGGTGGGAAATCTTCAACTTCATTAATGGCACATATTTGTATCATAATCTCTGATGTCCATTGCAAATATCTTGCCATAAATACACTTTACTACAAAAAAGCCTGAGCAAGCAAGTTTTTCTGAGAGTAAACCAATTAGAAACAATTCTGTACTATATTTTCAATTTGTGGTGTTTATTTTGAGATTTTCTGAAACAAAAATTAAAACTATATCCCCAATTTTCACTGTACACACAAATAACTCACCAATGTCATCTTAATCCTCATGCTCTTCCTTCACAGTGATGAAGCTGGTCAAAGAGTCCACTCTTATTCTTTTTCTTGTTCCTTGGTTTGTGGCAGTGCTTGTTGTAGGCATTTGTTTTATTATCCAAATGGATAATAATTATTACCCTCAACCTTTAAGAGAAAACAAAGCAGATTTCAATTGTGTTTTTCATTTATTTAAATGTGTTATTTACTATAATGTTTAATTTACTCTACAAATGATTTTGGTATTCGTCCCCTCATATATACTCATATACTCATACTTGTGGAACCCACTGGTCAGCAGCTAATGGCAGATTGCCAGTGTCTGAAGGCCCAACATACAATACTTTATATCACAGTTTACTTGAACTCAACTGAAACCTAATACTAAGATGTTGTCCCACATGTTTTGGGGACAGCTGTGTGGTTTCTTTCAGCTTATTTCTCAGTAATTTGTCAATTCATTGATCTTGTTGATCGCTTGTATTTTTGCATGTATAACTCTTTATATATACAGTCTATCTATGGTATAACTCCATCTTATTCTCATATTATGTTTTCCCCGCTTTTATTAATGCTGTTTTACCTGTGTCATGTATGCTACTACATCACCAACGAAGAATTATGCGACTGTGTGCGGAACCAAAATACACCATAACGCTGTTTCCGGTCGGACGATACACAAAGGAGGACAACCGTTGGACCTTTTTTCGCTGATGGCTTTCCCAGAGTTTACCTCGGAATGATTGAAGTGGTAGGCTAACATATAATCAATTCAAAACAACTGACCGGGCACGTCGGGAGCACAAAGTTACTATGATTAATAAAGCTACTGTCTTTAAGAACCAGAGCAAGTTAGCTTACCAATGCTAACGTAAACGTTGTTGGTAAAACATTATAAAACACTTATTTTAATGTTATGATAAAACACAATAAGTAAAACATAAACAAAGGACAATAAGTGGGGACGTCCTTCAGTTGAAATCGCCCTGAACTGTTTACAGCTAACATGCTAGCGCAGCTGTGTTGTCTGATGTTGGCCAGAAATGCATTGCCCTGCGTTAGCTCACGTTAGACCTGAGACTGCCAGAAGACAGCTTCTTACACATGATGATATATTAATATAGTTTCATATGAGAGCCATTATACCCTGCTTACTCAGAAATAGTGTCCAAACTTGACTTTTAAACTGTTGTAATATAACCGAACGTTAGCTCAATGAAACTGCATTTAAAAATCAAAAAGTAGCACTAATATAAAACAATATTAATAATGTGATTTAGCTAGAGAAGGCCAGCCGTGTGCGCAATATTGTATTTGATGTATTAAAAAATGATGCACCCTAACTACTTACCTCTTTTACAGATAATGTATTCCCTCTGATGTTGTTGAAAGCAGGCTCTTTCATAAATTAACTTACAGTAAATGAATGCACAAGATAGTTGAAGTTTTGATGTACTTGGAACTGCAGATAATTCTCAAAAAGGAAGTCTGTGATGTGCCTTAAGCTAATTTACCATTGCAGCTGTATTTGAACTGACTAATTACAGAACAATGAATAGAAAACACTTGCTCATAAATTGCAGTCTTTATCCCAGCATAATATCATAATTTGCACAAAACTCAGGTGTAATTAATTACATTAATGAGGAACCTGTGGAGTGTTGCAGTAAAGCATGTAGGGCGCCACCATGCAGAAATACCAGATTCTACTTCATGTACACATCATTAATGATAATCAGTGTTTACTGTTATTATTTATGTTAATGGAACATTATTATTTTGATAACAGGGACATTTGTGTCAATTTAATAGTGAAGAAAACAGCAGTTTTATTGTTTATACTGACAACACTGTTGTCTTCTTCTTCTTCTTCTTCTTCTTCTTCTTCTTCTTCTTCTTCTTCTTCTTCTTCTTCTTCTTCTTCTTCTTCTTCTTCTTCTTCTTCTTCTTTATGCACTGGGTGATTTATGAATCAGTATCATAAATTCTTAATTCGTCCCACAGCGGCGACATTTATATTGTTACAGCAAAGGGCACATTGCAGATAAAAATAAAATTAGTAGACTTGCAAGCAGCAGCATTCAAAATAAGTAAGTCAACATATAACGTACTAATAACATGAATAACTTGCAACAAAAAACGTAAAGCTGTTTAAGTATGGCTCAGACCTTGTGGTAGTGTATGGCATATGTGCTGAGCATAGTAGTTGAAAGTAATCATGTAACTCATGTTGTAATTCTGCCTGTAACCTGCTTTTTATTTTTCTGTACAGGTCGATGGACTATCTCGCTCCTCCCGCTCCGTCTGCTCTCGCCACACTTCTTTCCACGTTGCTCCCCTGCGGCTTCGCTGTGGGGCCCTCGCGGCTCTGTGGAGGTAGCATGGGGCTGTGGTGGGTCGGCCGCTCGCTGGAGGCTGGGTCCCTGCTGGGAAGGGAGCGGGACACAGAGTGGGCCTCCAGCTATCACACTGACCTGATGACTCACAGGCAGGAGGGTGAACTCGTGATGAACTCCAAAACATGTCAGACCATCAGCACGGAGGCAGACAAGGTATATTGAATGCATATTCCTTAAAACAAAGACTATTAATAAAGGTGTTAAATCTATTGTATATTATATCTATATTCTTTCATCACATTTTTAATATTAATATGTGTTTGTTTAGTTAATTTCCTCAATATAAAAAAAAAGGAAAAAACATAAACCCAATTAAAAAAACATAAAAGGACAATTGAACACTAGTTTTCTTCTAGATTAATGATAAATTGTTATGTCTATAACCCTTTCTAAAACATCTAAAAGTGTCCAAGGTGATATAGTTGTCTTGTTTTGTCAGTCCAACACCTCAAGATATTCCCTTTTAATATGAAAAAAACACAGACAAACAGAAACTTTTCCCTTTCCTTTAGTTATATAGGTTTTTGTGCATGTAAATATCCTGTAAATGCGGAAATCCCAAAGTTTCCTCCAGCGGGAGTTTCTCTCTCAGATAGAGGGTGAAAAGAGGTTCTGCAGCATGAGGAAAAAATACCTTTTTGAACATTAAAGCATGTAAACATGTCACAGTAGAGGCACACAATACAATTATGGACCTGAAAATGAGCATAATATGGCCCCTTTAAGTGTCATTGTGTGCAAACTTGTTTGCAATGTTTGGGCCTGATTCATGGCTGCATTTAAGCAAGACAATCAGTGGTGCAGTACAAAAACACACGGTAAATAAGCACTCTGCCACAAAGATATGAATACAAGTGTGACTGTGAAAATACATTTATTTAAAGGGGACCTATCATGCAAAATGCACTTTTGTACGTCTTTTATACATGAATATGTGTCCCCGGTGTTCCAGGGAACTCACCAAGTGTCAGAAAACACAACCCTCTCTATTTTCCTCCATACCCAAATCTCTAAAAAAGGGGCTGCAACGGATCTGATAAAAACTGATCCAGATTTGAACACTGTCCTGACGTCAGGACGGTGGCGCTACGGCTATTGGGCCAACTCTCCACCTATCAGGGGAATGTGGGGTTGGGCCACGGCCGGCCATTGCCGCTCGAAAGCGCTGGAGACGCTGTAGTACATATGCCAGGCCTGTAAGTGGCGCTGTAGTCTGCCACAAAAGCAGCGAAGAAGACTTCCCGCGCATGGTTGCCATGGTTACCCTTCTGTTTATTCTCCGCTGTGGCTTTTTTTCTCCCTCCCCGAGGCAAGCGTTTGCTCCCGCTGCTTTAATTCAATGCAATCCCTCCCCGTCGAGGCAAGCACTGTAATTCTCTCCGGTTAGTCCACCAGCAGATGACAAACACCCACCTCTCCGCCTCTTCCAAGGAACGAGCGGACCGTGCGGCAGAGTTTCAGTTTCAGTTTCTTTCGCCGGTCAAGATGTCCGTTAAAGTTGAAATCTTCCGGACAAAATTAGAAAAGTGCCGGTCAAAGGTCTTCTTTGTTATTTATTGAGCTTTAAAACAAATGAATAACGACTCGATATAATAATATAATAAAACACGGAGGACGGAGATCTATTTTTCTCCCCCTCTTCTGACTTGATCAGAGCGGCTCCCCTCTCCTGCAGGGGGGCGTGGTCAGCTGCAGCTCACAGAATCAACCCCCTGCAAAAACAGTGCTGGAGAACAGCAAATAGAGCGAAATGAGGCATGGCTAAAATGCATGATCTGTTTGGTATTTTGAAAACAGAAACGTATAAATATACCTTATATAGGTATGGCCCTACAATATATAATTTAAATATAGCATGATAGGTGTCCTTTAAGTTTATCCTGTTACGATCTGTTTTTCTGTCCTATTTGCATTCGTAATGTCTCTTAACTTTACATTCACCAGCACCTGAACTTTTGAAGCAAAATCTGTTAAACACCTGAACTGTTGAAACAACATCCCTAATATTCATCTGGCTGCTATTAAAAATTATTTTTAAATTATTTATCTATTTACCTATTATATCATATTTCAATGACTTGCATATAGACTCTTATTGCACTATTTCACTATTTCACTTTTTTAAATTTTTTTTTATTTTTGAATTACTATTTACTTGCACTATATTTTTTCTGTTTATCTGTGTTTTGTGTTGCTCTGTTGGAGAAGCCTGTAACACAAGATTTTCATCGGCATAACTACACTGTAGCTATGAACATAGCTACAGTGTAGGTTCAAGGTTCTTTATTTATGACTAAATAAAGAACCTTGAATCAGTACTTTAGTCTAGTTTTAAACCATTTTATCTCAGTTGCTGACAGAAAGGCAGAGTGAGGATAAATGCATGCCTTTATTCTCAATTTATTGCTGACCTCCGTGGGAAGGTAATGAATCAGACCTTTCCAAAACAAGAGGAGGAAGAGCAGCTTCAAAGATGAAAAGATCAACCCATGCTAACTTGCAAGGGCACGGAATTCAATATTCAAATCACGACCTACCTATCCTTTTCTTTTTCTTTATACTACTGTAAGTGGGGCTGAGTCAGACATGGCAGTAATCACCACCATTATGAACATGAGTATAACTTACCTGTCAGCTGTCAAACAATAACTGTTAGCCGGTGGGGTCATGTTCATTCATGAAGCGTGATGTAATCCAAAGCAATTGAGTGTCAGCTCAGGACGAGTCTCAGTTCATTATTGAAAGTTTCCTTCAGGAGTTTTGTCTTAAGTCTTCACTGGGAAATCTAGGCTAGGAACTTTAAGTTTCATTTACAGAGACTCCTAGCAAATAATACAATTATGTGTCAATGAAAACCTCATAATATACTGCAGCGAATATGAATTGTTTCCATCACATTTTAGATACAGGCTCCCAGGGTTTAATAAGATTAGACTAAATCTCTTTTGTGCATCAGTCAATCCTAAATTAAATCCCAGATCAACTGTATATTAAAGGGTTTTCCACATATGTTCTTAAGTTATTGTTATGTTAAATGTTTTGTTTCCTTGATTCTTGTCTTAAATATGAGTCCTTGTGGATGTTGAAATGGACATGCTGTGATGCAAGAAAGATTTCAGACTTGATTTGACAACAAAGTATTATTCTATGATGTTATCGTATAAGTGTTCTCTTTATTTAAGTACAATCATTTACACAAAATGAATGTATGTTTTGTAGGCACTGATGGAGAAAGCAGCAAATAAAGATGAAAGTATGCTACAAACAGGCGTCTGGATCAAGTAAGTTGACACAGTGCTTCACAAGAAGTTAACTTAGGCTTTTTATCCTCATAACCTGATTGTTTTGATATATTTGTATTTATTTGATTTGTTTGAAACGCATACAACTCTATATCAACTCTGCACTTTCCGTTGGAATCTAAAGCGAAATATAGTCTCACAGGCTTTGTGAGCCTGTTGTGCCTTGAACTCACTGTTAATATCAGTTTGCTTACAATGATAATGCTAACATGCTAAGGTTTCGCTGATATAATGTTAACCAGTTCTTCATCCTGGTTAAGATGTTTGTTGTTTATTTTTTCAAATCGGGGCAACAGCATACAGTACATAAGAAAATCAAAAAAATGTAACACTCATTTGATTATATTTAGTTTAAATATTTATTTCTAATAAGAATATTAGAATTGCTCATCTCAGAATTCAAAGCTGACTTACTGAAGAGCATCACTTCCTGTTATCCGTTCTTCTCGCTCTTCATATTTGAGGTTTGCCAATATTGATTTAGTTTTCTGTGGTTTCTGTGTCTTCTGCTTCTGGCTGTGTACACTGTATGTAGTGGCAACTATTTCTCCTGCCTCTGGCTGTGTGCTGGGTCCTGATTAAATATTGCCATATTTTTAGCTAGCTGAACTAAGTAGAACATCATTGCACAATCATTCGCTGCAACCAAGTTACCTGTGACGGGTCACAGACAGTGGATAGATTTAACTGTACCACCCATACTGATATTACAAATAAGCGTATATGAAGTTTTTTTTTATTCCAAATATCTGTATCTCGGACTGTGTTCCATACATACCGTTGCTGAGACACCCATAGGGATAAAACGGCATACTTCCCTTCATATCCTTCCCTATTCAAGGAAATACAAACACTCAATCCTGATTAAATCCAACTAAGCATGTAAATCCACATTGAGGTTTGGTTTAACATATTTCTGTTTACATTCATTTGTTGTTTAATTCCCACAGATTTGCCTGCCAGGCGCAGAGCAGAAGACAGCAGAACGTGTCGGTGCAGTGTGCCTGTGGAGAGGTGTGTTCAGGCGAGTGTGTGGACGTGTGTCTGCGCGTTTGTCGGGACATCCAGCCAGGAACAGAGCTGCTGTTGGGCGGAGAAACCCTAGGAAAGGGTCAGACCACGAAAAACTCCACGACACAGGACAACCTCCCAGGTAGTGGATACAGACCAACAGTTGATTATAAGTAAATCAGACAAAAACATCCATTCATTTTGTTTGTTTTCGCACCAAAGTCTTAGGATAAATGAGGTTATAACCAGCCTTATTCCCCTGGAAGGTGTAGGGTTGGCTTTATCTTACCCCCTTTGGTTATAAAAATCTGTCATGCAGCTTGATTAAACTAAAATCTAAATATCGACTAATACATTTTTTCCATATCTCTAGCAGATGCAAATGTATTAAAATGTAAATGAGAGGCCACAGATTTAATTTGTTGTTGTATATCATCTACCTAAGTTACATGTCTATTAAGCTGGCACTCAGGTCCAATTTGCTCTCCATTTTAGCTCTGTTTTTGGTTTCCACCACCTCCATTTTCATTTAATGCTTCTTTATACTTTTACTCCACCACATTTTGGAAAGGAATATTGTCATTTTTACCAAGTAATAAATAAACATTGAAACATAATCATAGGTTATAAATATTAATCACCTTTACCAGCTATGACAGACACATTTATGCATTAATAATCATCATTTCATATGTATGATTTTGAAACACGCCATTATGCTTAAAGGAGAGGTGTCATGCTTTTCCGGTTATTACCCGTCCCCTTGTGTGTTATGAAGGTTTTTATGCATGTAAATGGTCTGCAGAGTCAAAACCCCTCAAAGTACACCCTGTAGGGAGTAAAACTCTAACACAGAAAAGACCTCCCCAAAACGCCTCGCTGGAACTTTCTCATGTTCTTCCTGGGCATCGTGACGTGTGGATACCCAGTAGCCACGCCCAGAGCTATGACGCGATACGGTCATGCGGTACCCGGAACTAAATGGACCAATCCGTGGAGCCGTTACGTCCGCGGAGCCGTTACGTTAAGCCCCCGCTGATTGGTCCAAATTGACCAATCCACGGACTTCCTCACACACAGGCAGCTCTGCTGATTTCTCCTCCCTGGCTGCAGGCTGATAACAGACAGTTGGGATCGCGGCGAAATTCTCTCTGCAGACCCATTCTCACAGCGTTTATCAACCTTTTTCTTACTCAATATCAAGCCACACTTATTGTTTTTACTTCGGCTGTGACTTTGTGTGTGCTCAGGATGAGTTTGGCTGTGTTTGGCTGTGTATCGCTAACAAGGAAACAACACCTCCACGGAGCTCAGCGCGATTCACAACGTCCCGACCAATCAGAGCACACTGTGCTCACAGGGAGGGTGGGGGCTGGAGCTATTGGAGCTACAACGAGCCGTTAAAGGCAGAGAGTGAAATTCAGTGAATACAAGTAGTTTACAGAGATGCTGTATGAGAAACCAATGTGAGTTTGGAAAAATGCACAGTATACATCTATTTTAGTATACCTCAACAATGGAATTATGATCAGTGGAAATGGCCATGATACCTCTCCTTTAACAAGTACTTTCAATTTTGGTTCTTAAGTATCTGACGCCAATACTCACACTTACTCACTGAGCTTTCTAATTCAGAAATTATTATTTTATAGAATTGCTACTTTTACTTAAAGTGGACCTATCATGCTATATTTGAATAATATATTGTAGGGCCATACCTATATAAAACATGTCTGTGAAGTTTTTTTTTCAAAATACCAAACAGATCATGCATTTTAGCCATAGCTCATTTTGCTCAATTTTGCTCTCCTCCACCCTGTCTTTGCATGCGCTGCAGCTGACCACGCCCCCCTGCAAAGGAGGGGGGCGAGGCACGAGCGTCATGTTACCATGCTGTTACCATGCTGTTACCATGCTGTTACCATGCTGTTACCATGCCACGGCAACCTCTCATTCCCCTGATAGGTGGAGAGTTGGCCATATAGGCGGAGCTCCTCGTTCCTGATGTCAGAGAATTTTCAAATCTGGATCAGTCTGTATCAGATCCGTTGCAGCCCCGTTTTTAGAGATTTGGGTATGGAGGAAAAGAGAGGGTTGTGTTTTCTGACACTTGGTGGGTTCCCTGGAACACCAGGGACACATATTCATGTATAAAAGACGTACAAAAGTGCATTTTGCATGATAGGTCCCCTTTAAGTAAACAATCTTATTACTTCTTCTACCACTGCATATTATCCCTTTTTAGGTCAATAAAGACAATGTGCAATATAATTATTACAGTTAAGTGGTACCAAACAGCATTAAATGGCTTTGATTAATGTAATCAGAATTAATATTCATTCACTGTCTCCACCTGGAGGAGTTAGAGGGACATTTAACTCCAGAGCTAAGTGGACAACACCATTGACCCTTGAAAAAACCTCACTTACCAACACATAATCATAATCACATTCTGGGTTACAGTTGACTTAAATAACCTTTGTAATCACAACAAAGTCTTAGTAGATGAATTAGCATCAACTCCACTGATGAAAGCAGAATTTCCACAAAATCATTATTTAACAGCCATTGTTTTCATTTGAGTGCTTTGTGAAAAAAAGACTAGACTAAAAGCTGAATATTATTATATGGGAATTAATTATTACTGCAGCAAGAAAACCAAGTAATTAAAGCACGTTAGTTTTGTAGTAATAAACCCTGGCTCTTCTCAGCCTTTAGCAGCATCCGTGTGCATTGATTGATGCGACATCAAGGAGGGCCTCCATGCAGAAAGCACCCAGCAGACTGTGGCTCCACTGGGGTTATCTTATTAAAACTCTGGCTCTTACAGCGCTGATAGAAACAGAGCGAGTCTGTGAATCAGGAATAATAAAAATAATTATGAATGCTAAATAAAAGGCAGCGGGAAAAGAAACAATTAATCTCTCTGCAGGGAAATAACATTGTAGTGGTAGAACATATTGATTTGAGTGTTGGGGAGAATGAAGGGTGTTATATCTGTTGGCTGGATGTAGAGTTACGAGTTAATGAGGAAACTTATTGAAGAAAATATATTGAAGAAATAAATTAAAAGCTATCAATACATTTTAATGGGAATAAGTACAAAATGAACAGAAGTACATGTATAATAAATATTGTACATACATGTGAATATACAGGTACAAGGTGTACATACCGAACATGTTCTGTACATGTTTATAAGTCGCTCAGAGATGGTAACTTAAAGGGGCCCTATTATTCTTTTGGTGTGTTATATACGTTTTTGTGCGTGTAACATAATGACATCATTATGTAACACTCCCACTTCTATTGGCTAGCGCTTCAACACATTGTACGTGACTCTGGTTTCAGACAGAGGGTGAAAAGTGGTGCTGCAGCACATGCAATCTGAGCAAAATGAAGTCCTTTTTGAAAGTAAACATGTCACAGTAGAGGCACAAAATACATGTATGTAAATAAGAATGAGCACAATAGGGCTCCTTTAATACCTTCACTTAAGTACTTTATACTTGACTATAATTTAGAGAGAGGAATTTGATTAATTTGTATAAAAATGTCACTTCATATTTCCACGCATACAGTCACTAGATACTTTGTAGATGGACATTACAAAATGTAAATAAACATTTGTAAAAGTAGAAAAATGCATTGCATTGTTTTACAGTACAGTACTAACCTGTAAGTATGCAAAGTGTTTGCATTACCAGCTAAAACTTTACACAGCGGCTTACAACGTCATCAGTGCTGATAATCCAGTATTGCAATAGATACAACTATAACAGTGATGCTGTTCTGCATAGCTAGTGTTTTGCAGCTAATTTGCTGGCACTTTCATCCAAGAAATAGTTTGATAAACAGGAAAATGTACTGATTGAAATGGAATTATGTTTTTGTTTGTTGATGATTCACATCAAATCCTATGTGAATCATCAAACACATATACAGAGCAGTGCACATGTTAAAATGTAACCCATCCAAGTTTTATGAGGGATTATATATAATTGTTTCAGACACATTTTCTCCCAACCGAGTCACCATTTACAATGTTTACTGTCTTTTTTTTTGTACAGATAACAAAGTAGAAGACAGAAAAGACGCAGAGACTGTTGTACCCGACATACGGATAATTCAAGAGAAAACAGAGGAGAAAGAGGACAAGCAGGAGGAAGTGCTGCTCAGAGTCCCGCGCAGATGCATCAAGAGGAGTCAGACAACCGTTCCACTGAGGAAGAGGAGAGTCCAGAAAACCCTTGAGAGTTTCACTGATGCTCACATAGAGAAAATCAACGTCCCAACAGCAGGAGGACACACAGACAGCACATGTAGTGAGGACAGACAGTCACACAGTAAACATACAGATGGTGGGACAGACTCTGGAGGCTTCTCTCCACCTCCTCTGGTCCGCTGCAGCTCCCGCCTGGCAGCTAAACCGCGACGCGTTCACTGTCCAATCGGTCGTGGGAAGCACCCTCCCGGAAGCCCTGTTCAATCCAAACAGACGGAGGAACAGAGCTCCACTAAAGACACCACCCCCGTCACAGAGAAGGAGCTTTCGGAAAGTATCTCGCTCCCTGATGTCGAGGCCGCTGCAGCAACATCGTGTGTTGCCAAGGCGACCCCTTCGTGGCCTGCAGGAATCAGAGAGAGGCGGTACAGGTGCTCCAGCTGCGGGAAGAAGTTCTACCAGATCGGTCACTTGAAGAAACACCAGTTCATCCACACAGAGGAGAAACCCTTCAGCTGCCAGGAGTGTGGGAAGAACTACACCTCTGCAGAGAGCTTCAGAGCCCATCAGGTGTGGGGGGATACAACTCTTTATTTTCTTAGTCTGCAAGTCCTGTTATGCTTTTGGGGGTTTTCTTTTTCCTGCCTGAAAGGACTCATTTGTTAACTTCTTTACTTCAGAGCAGACTGGGCTCTGGTTTCAGACAGAGGGTGAAAAGAGGTGCTGCAGCACAGGCAGTGTTAAAAGTATGAAGACCTTTTTGAACATTAAGGCATGTAAAAATGTCACATGAGAGGCACAATATACAAATATAAACTTGAAAATGTGAATAATATGTCATCTTTAAGCACTAAAACAGGAACAATTATTGTTTTTTTCGTTATTCTAGAGTTGCGATCAATTATAAACAATATTAAAAATGCAACACAATGTATTTGAAGATAAAACAATTATGTCAGGTCCCTGATAAACTGCTGAATGTATTTAATATATACAAATTGATTTGGAGTAACTTATGTCTAAAAGCAACTTTTTGCTCCTTCCCCTAGTTGAACGTTTTAAGTCTGTAAATTGACTGCATTCATTTGGCGCTTTTCATGGCTTGCTTTGCTGTCTGTATTCACCCATTTGCACAGAAGCTTACAATAGGGCTATCATTCACACACATTAACGCACAGTTGGCCATGATATCTGGTGTAAGGTTAAGTATCTTGTGGTGTATCACAGTGTTTAATGCAGAGGCTGGAGATTAAACCACCAACCTTCTAATTGGTGTATGACCATCTGCTAAAACCAATCTTGTTCGCCTCTGACCACCGCCAGCATCACTGATACATGGGTGGGTGGTGGCCTAAGTGTGCTGAGTTATATATACCTCATTTAACAGTGATTTCTTAGACTTAAATGACTCAAAATGCAATTACAGGACGCTTTCCAGGAAACTATGCACCATTTAACACATTTTAACTCTCCAATCTGAATATAATTGTCAAAACATTGTTGTGGACAAAGTAAAATAAATGTCTCTATAGTAATAGGAACATTATTTTTCGCATCTTTTACTAACATCCCTTTTTATTAATGAAAGAAATGAACAGCAAACATACTAATATACAAAAGATAGATAATAACACTTTCTTCCTTCCTCACATACTTCCTTCCCTGCTGCTCTCTGTATTTCTTTATTGTTTTGTAAGGATGTCTTCCTGTAGCCTATTATTTATTCCTCTTTGCTCGGTTATCCATTGAACAAACACTTGACAGCTAAATGGCCTCAGAAAAACCAGATCCGTCACCTGTGGATGTATTTTAAACGGCGTGCGTGTGTGGGGGGGGGTTTGGGGAGATATATTCAATGCTTCCTTGATAGGGATGAGCTTACTCATCAAGCAAGGTAGCAATTTCCTCCTGTCAGTGAAGAATAACAATAGCAGCAGTAATAATACATTTCCTTCGAAATAATGACGGTATTATTTGCAGATGAGTCACCGCGGGGAGCGTCCCTTCTCCTGCCCTCACTGTGAGAAGCGCTACGGGCTGAAGCGGGACCTGAAGGAGCACATGGTGCTGCACACCGGGGAGAAACCCTACGCCTGCGAGCACTGTGGCAAGGCGTTCGCTCGCCGGCCCTCTCTACGCATCCACCGCCTCCTCCACTGCAGCAAAAAGGTTTACACACAGCCTCCGAAGGTAAGGAGGCGTGATTCTGTTCAACTGCTCTGTGAAGGTTCCCTGATGAGGTTTAGAACTAGTGTGTTTTTTGTTTATCTTGGAAACACACCAAGATTAGATAAGATACACCTTTATGATCCTTTGGAGTGTTACAGCACCACAAGGGAAGACAAAAGTACAGAAACATACAGAAAGCTCAAATAAATAAATACAAAATAAATATAGTTTTTCAGATTCTTATTCTTATTATCCATCTCTTTATTTTTTATTCAAGAGCTTTTAGAGACAATACATACGAGGTAAAATGACACCACTGTGAGTAGAAGAGAAGAGTCAGTATGTCTGTATCAATGTTGAGATAATTCTAAATAAATAGATCAAAAATACATTATTCTTGATGATACAGTTTATATACAGTTCAAGGTAAAAGATGGTAAAACAGCATAATATATGATATAGAAATTGTACAAAAGAACAAAGAATATCAAACATGGTTGTATCAAAGCATAGAGTATTATTATAATTAAACTTGGATGTAAACAATGCTACATTTCAGATACTTTTAAAATCAGCTTTATACAAGGAACATGTTCAACACAGAGCTCGAGGATCTACACAATCAGTACTGCGACAAGTACACTCCACAGATTCCCCCGTTAAGCACTTCTTCACTTGTGTTGTGACATTTTCAGATGTTTCTGTTTTTAATAAGGACAGTGAGCAGCTTAATGAGCATCTTTCTCTCGTGTATGGAATGTTTCTTGAAATCTGCAAAGACCAAGGAGGAGCATAATTGCTGTACCTTCCCCTTCCCCTCCGCTCTATACACAGACACAATTTCAACAAAAGAAGTTGTATTCCTGCACCACTAGGCCTCATTTTTGTATCTGTCCAGTAATATCTTAAAATTCCCATGCATGCCGTGTTTTTCCTCCTGAGCTTTTATTATTAAAAAGTAGGATGAATCATGCTGCATTTGTGTTTTCTTTCTCCCTCAGGTGCAGTGCACAGTGTGCCACAAGCTGCTGGCTAACTCCGGCTCTCTGAGGAACCACATGAAGCTCCACACTGGGGAGAAACCTCACGTGTGTCAGCACTGCGGGAGGTGCTTCAGTCAGAAAGGTGAGGTCCGGTGCTGGAGGTCCAGCCGGCTGCTATACAGTCAGGTGGGCTCGGTTTAAAAATGCTGCTGTGGTCGATGTTCTCTTCTTCCTGCAGATCTCAGCACAGACTGTCTGACTTGAAGAGGCCCTATTATTATGTTTGAGGTTTTCCCTTTCCTGTGGTGTGTTATATAGGTTTTTGTGCATGTAATGGATTTGTGCATGTAAAGCCAAAATCAAAAGCTTCTTCCAGAGGGAATTTCTCTCCCACACACTCCCCCCCCCCCCCCCCCCCCCCCCCCCCCCCCCAGCCTGAACAACCACGATTGGACTCCTTTGTTTACTTCTGTTACATAATGACATCAACGTAACAGTCGTCATTCTATTCGCTAAGGCTCCATCACATTGTACAAGTTAAGAGGCGGGACATCTCTAAGCGGTTTATCAATCACAACAGAGCCAGCCAGCTAAACAATCAGAGCAGACTTGGCTCTGGTTTCAGACAGAGGGTGAGAGAGAACGCAATATTGACCCTTGGGACACATTAAGTCACAAAGTGCTTGCAAGTCTTTCATATTTAATACATTCAAAAGGATGACCCTTATATCACTGTCAAAAGCATCACATTAGGTTTGATCTATACTTCACTTTTAAGATTCATCTGCACTTAGAATGCAATCTGTCAAATAAAAGTCTACTCTGCTGCAGAGACTTTATTTAACTCTAGATAAATATAATGGTGGGACTGACTGAAAAGTTGTATTAGTCATCATTATTATTTATTTACTTTTTGTACGACTTTATGATCTTCTCTGCTGGCGCTACACAGTGGCAGCTGCTCATAAGAAGCTACGTGGTCTGGTATCATTTTGGATGAACACGTTTGTTTTTCTACCTGCCAGGTGGAACATGATGGAGTCGAGGACCTTTTTATCTTAGCTGAGCAGCTGAGAAGCCAACATGCTGACGTTCTCACTAGATTTGATGATTTTTAAGACTTGTTAAGAAAGCCGTATTAAAACAAAAAGAGCCTAGCCAATCAGCTTCTGGAGAAAATTGTGGACCAAACAGTGTTTACGGTCAATAACTACTTCCTGTTGAGAACTCTTTTTAGTTTTTGTTCCACATAATTTATCGTCAATATTTAACTTTTTCTATTGATTTAACAAAAGTTTAGTCTGGTGTCTGAAAACTCTCCATTTAAGTTTCTACACGAGAGCTACATAATAATAGAAATAGAAAAAGGGAGTTGATATTAACCTGCTCAAAATATATGGCAACACTGCACCAAAAGAGATAAAACCCACCCTCCAACATCTCGTGAGATGTCTTCACACTTCTAAAGGTGGTACTCATGGTCAGCTGATGTTGGTCGTAAATGCTCATGAAGCACACCCAAACATCTCAATACGATAGCTTTGGAGTTGTTAAATGACAATAGCCCCCTATAAGCTAACACACCCTGCAAACACAAAAACGAAATGGTATTGATCTTCTCATCTGAGCTTCAGAAAGAATGGAACACATTGCGTCAACGTATTCCTCTAATTGTGAAAGACAGGAAACAGGATATTTTGAGATCACATTAAGGAATGAACTTGCCTTGAATAAAGTGCCAACATTCATTTTTGATGAGAGAACATAGCTCCCCACAGATTTTTGGAAAATACATACCCAAATGCCCTGCTCCCCCCACACACTATATATAACAAAATGTCTCTCTGACTGTGTGTCTCTCAGGGAACCTCGAGTCTCATTTGAGAATTCACAACGGAGAGAAGCCGTATCCGTGCTCCGAGTGCGACCAGAGCTTCTCCCAGAAACCAGACCTGCGCCGACACATGTTTTCCCACACCGGAGGAGGCTTCCTCTGCAGCTACTGTGGGAAATCTCTGAGGGACCCGCACAGCCTGAGGTCGCATGAGAGGCTGCACACGGGAGAAAGGCCCCATCGCTGCCCTGTCTGTGGAAAAGGTCAGAACATGTTGGCAACATTATAGAATCAAACAAAACTCTGGGGGGGGGGATCGAATGTGAACACATGGTGGCTTTGAACCTGCATTAACTGGTTTTGTGAATATTATCATCTTAATAAGTTGTTTGGATTAATTTGTAGGCAAAATGTGGTTTTTTTACTGACCCAGAAAACCAAATTATCCTCTTTTGGTTTGGTTTGCCAGCAGGAATATGGGTAGTTTTTTCTAAACTAAATGAAAGATTGTAGCATGGGCCCTGAAAATGAAATCATTTTTGGAGCGGAACAAAATCATAATGTCCCACACATCAGATATATATAACGTAATGTAGATAAATGATGGATTCACTCAAATGTATTTAATACCATATTTATTGATTACCCTTTTGTATAAATATCATGACTGCATTGCCTTACAGAGCATCTTTTTTTTTAGCTACAGTGACTGCTAGGCTGTTTTAGGAAATAACTGAAACTATAAAAAATGAAAACATTTAAAGATTTATATCTTCAGGAGCCAGTGGGCTTGATAACAATCCTTATAACCTAATTATTAAATGTAATTGTAAACTGTTAATTTAGAAACAAATATTTTATAATCTTGGTTTGGTCATATTTAGTTTTCTTTCAACAGAATAATGTTTTATCAGTTGTTCATTTTTTGCACTTAAAAGATGTTATTGTTTTCCCTCAGGCTACACTTTGGCCACTAAGCTGCGGAGACACATAAAGTCGTCCCACGTGTTGGAGAAACCATACATCTGCCACTGCGGCGCTTCGTACACGGTACGACACAGTCTGCTGAGGCACCAAGCCCAGCACCGGGCAGAGGGGGGGGCTCAGGGGGAGGAGGGGGAGGAGTCGCAGTCAGGGGGAGGACACGGAGAGCAGACGGAGAGCAGCGGCAAGACGGAGGTTGAACAAGCAGCTTCAGGCTCCAGCCACCTGCAGCCAATCAGAGGCAGACCCAAGAAGAACTCGCTTGAGGAAGGGTACATAAAGCGGAAAAGGGCAAGAGGAAGAGTGGAGGAGAAGGAGGCGAGGAACTTTCAAGGCACTGAGACCTCAAGAGCAGAATACGGAGGAGATGAGGAACCTTCAGGTAACATCCAACATGTCGTCTACGTCCACACAAACGACCTCTCCACCCCCAGCTCCACCCCTCTGACCCTCGCCTCGGAGAGCCCGCTGCCTGAGAGGGCGGGGCAGGATCTGGTGGAGGTGGTGATTTCAGAGGGAGCAGAGCAGGGCATTGTGGTCCCTGGGCAGCAGTCAGTAGGAGAGCTGCTGATCTTACAGGAGGAGGGGGGCGGGCTCTATGTGGCGCAGACTGTGGAGATAAACACAGGGTAGAGGAAAATCTTCTGGTTCTCAAACATCGATTATTCTTTGCTAGTGGTGCACAAACCACCCCCTTGGCCTGTTCAGGGATTCTTATTGTTGTTGAACATCAGCACTCTCTTTGACTCTGAGTGGCTGACATCTACTCTTGATTTTTTAAGATGTTGACAAAACTTGAGCTGTCAGAGTCCATTTGAAGTTGTACTGAAAGTACTTCTATGATGTGTTCTGCATTTAGCCAGTTTATTCTCTTGAGTTGATCAAATAAAGCATCAAAACAAACCCAAGGTGTTTTTTCAGTATCCACAAAGTATTCACAGCTCCTGCTCACTGTCAGCACTTTATGGTGAATGTATTCAATAGCAATGAAACACCTTGAATGGGGGTTCACAGGGGGAAGAAGTACTCAGATCTGCATTACTACAGTGCCAAAAATACTATGTTGCAAGTAAAAGTCCTGCATTCAATTTGATACTAAATAAAAAAAGATATATATATTAACATTTCAGAAAAAATGTAAAGGCATATTATATCAATGGATATTAATTATTGATGCATTATCATGACTTTATTGTTGATAACATTTGAGACAATTTTAATTTATTTATATATTGCTGCGTAGCTTTTTAATGTATTCCCAGGGATCAATACACTTTTATCTTAACATTAGAAGAAGTATAAAGTTCCCTAAAATACAATCGCTCAAGTCCCTCGTAAATGTACTTAAAGACAGAACCATCAGTGATGCACACTGTACACACAGCACTGACATACAGAAACAGGTTATTAAGTTGATATGTTTAGGTTTTATTATATGGAGTAGCATTAGTTTGGAGTTGTCCCATATAATCTCCTTTTAGCTCTGGTTTGATCTAGTCTACTATTTCAAAATAACTTAAAGGTCACTTATCATGCTATTTTTAGGCAATAGCATCGGTCTCAGATATATACAAATATATAAAAAACATGTGATGAAGTGTTTTGCTCAAAATACCAAACAGATCACCCATTCTAGCCATGCCTCATATCCCTCTATTTCACTTCCTGTTTCAAAAGTGCTGATTTGGGGTATAAAGCTTTAAAAAAAATAAGGGGGCTGAGCTCATGCGGGACCCGGCAGCTACTGTCCAAACTAAATACTGCCGTGATGAAACGCCATATCATGGATTATCAAGGAGTATTTCTGAAACAGTATGGAGCTCAAAGGCTTTCTCTCTTGCCGGTTATACCACAAGGTGAGTTCCTTTTTATTTCCTGCTTCTTCACACACATGCTCTCCAGTACAGGTTAGCTCTGAGTGTTAGCGATGCTAATGTAAACACCGACCATATTACGTCCAAAACAGTCGGGCATTGTTTCTGATAGCAACGTTTCTGATAGGGCCGTGGGTGTAAAGCCAGCCTACATTTCCGATATTACGTCATATCGGACGCAAATCTGGATCAGCTCCGTTGTAGCCCCGTTTTTAGAGATTTGGGTACGGAGGAAAAGAGAGAGGTTTTTATTTTCTTCTCTGTTCAGTTAATGTAGAAACAGGGTACGATGAAATGAATGAAGAACTTAAGCTGATCTGAATCAAAGATGTCTTACTGTACATCTTTTATAATACGCTGCTGGAAACCTTAAAGAGAATGCAATATTGACCTTGGGGACACATTAAGTCATAAAGTGATTAAAGGCTTTATATTATATATATTTAATACATTTAAAAGAATGACCCCTATATCACTGTCAAAAGCATCAAATCAGGGTTGATTTATACTACAAATATGAGCCTGTAAATTAGCATAATAACAATTCAAACTTGGAAAACTCTTGTCGATATTCTCATCCCTTAACATGTGTGTAAATTAAGCATTTTCTTTTAGTACAGCAATCAATAGGAACCGACAAGAAGTTTGGGTAAGAAATCTACAGTATTGATACAATCCTAATAATACGCATCCCTACATGCCTTATTCAATTTCCGTTACAAGAAATGTGTTATTAAAAGGTTAGACAGATTTCATGGCGTGCTGAACGTGTAATTGCAATGTCTCCAGCTTGATTCTTTCCTACAGTCTTTGTTGCATGTCATCATCCAATTCTCTACCCTCATTTCCTGTCATCTCTGCTCTCTGAATATAACATTCATTAACTATTTAGGCCTTTTTTATATATTGGTGTATACATCATGCTTGATCTTTTTTTTGACTTTGTGGGTTATTTGTTCTGCCTGAGCACAAGCATCGCCATATGGAGATAAGTACGGAAGGAGACGAGTGCTGGAGTCAGCACTGCTGTGACAGAGAAGTTTAACATCAGACGGTTTCTCTGCTTTTTTTATATAATCTTATTAAAACAGAGATAATGGAAAGGCTTCCCATGCCACATGAGAGCTATGATAATAGGGATCAGCATCTGTAAAGGACCCTCCATACAAGTCGTTTTTCTAAAGCCTGACGTACACAGAGAAGAAAAAATGCAGAGGGGGAAAAACATCAGTTCATATGATTGTACCGATAGAAGAGAGCTGCAGCTTCAACATGTCTTTGAGGCTTTTGTTGGTCTATGAGAGTAGAGGTTGGTTTTATGTGCTTATCCAGTGATTAATTGTTACATGTAATTGCAGGAAAGTACTTCTTAGATGTGATTTGTTGACACCAGAGTTTGGTAACAGTTAGGGGGAGTCTTCATTCTGCAAAATACAATGATATTTTAGACAGCAGTGTCCTCTGCATTGGCTTCCCAAATTAGTTTCCAACCAGGGCCTTGAATTAACATAAAAACACTAACAATGCCATAAATAAACAAGAGCAGGTGTTCAAATCTGCAGGAAGAAGTATTGGCAGTCTATCCGGCAGAGTTTAATACGGTTATATCGGAGGGGATTAAATCGTTTATGTAAGTTCTCTTTTGGCCCCGAAGTGCTCTGGAGCAGATGCCTGATGGGAGTAGCTGAGAGGAGTGAAGGTCGTGTCAAGGGTCCTTAGTATTCAAGTCTGCCTTTCTTATTACTGCAAGTCTATAAATGTTGTGAGAGTTGGTTTTTAAGTGGTGCTAGTGATATTGGGAGTATATTTGATGCAGATTTCAGGCGTCAGTTTGGAGTCTGGAACCTCACAACCTTTGGTGCAGAGAGAGGATTGAACAGGTGTGAGAGGTGAGAGAGTAGGCAGTTACAATTCTTTACTTAACTTATATCATTACTTTTTATTTACAAGACAATGGCATTAACGTTAGTGCCTTGGAGTGCATGCACTTTACCACATTTGAACGATTACCACGTCATGCCTCTCTCCCTTCTGACTGCAGACTTTCACCTGGGCCATTCAGAACAGATTTAAATAAACACTATGGGCGGTTCTTGCTGGGGAGTGGGCAAACAGGGTACAGTGGCCCCGTGACACTGAGCTAGGGCTCCCCTGTAAAATTGATCTAGAACCACCACTGTTTCACAAAAGGTTGACATGTTAAAAAAAGTTTGTTTAAAAAATATATATATGTTTCATACTCTGCAGATTCAAAAATCACTGTCAAACATTGTATATTTGACATATAGTGAATCTCTAATGGTTAAACCCAAATAAAAACACCTATTCAGTATATGTGTAAGTAAAAAGTAGGGAGTCAACCAGCAAAACAGATTTGTTTCCCCTTCCAAATAACGTGAAGGCTCATGAGAATACACCACCCCACATCTGAGAACCTCCACCTTGAGAGCTACCTTTGAAACCTTTTTCACAACCAATTATAGACAGTTTCTGTTCGGGAGGCGGACTTGAAGAGACAGGTGCTAAAATGGAGCCTTTCAGACAGAGGATGATAACAGGTCTATTCAGACAGACAGTTTCGGAAAAACAATGTGTTATTTGAAAACAAGAGAATGTGAACATGTTGTAGTAGAATCTTAAAAAGGCATAATATTTCCCCTTTAAATACATTTGCAACAGTTGTTTTTATGGTCATTTCGTGGCGAGTTAACAATGGAGAGTTTGTGTTAATGTGGCCAGAAGTAAACAAGCGGGTCATTGCATGTCATTCATTTGTGTAACCTCAGACCCAGCAAATGTGTAGCAAAGTCATTAATGTCAAAAACATGAAAAAGTAAATAACCTTATGTACGTAGGCCCATGTTCAGATGGTCTGCCCCTCTCTTTCTGTTTACTCCTCTGAGTTTATTCTTTGTGATTATCTCTCCTCTGAATTGTCTGCATCTCTCTCTCTCCATCCCAGCCGGAGATGTGACTCACCCAGAAGGAACCATTTGCTGCAGAGCTGTCAAACAGGATTCAGGCTGTTTTCCTAAACCTCTGCTGCAGAGTCTCAGTGAAACTTCAGAGTGATTTAGCTGTGCAGTGGTTACACGCTTTCCAATGTAATGCATCACCAAAGTAACTTCCTGTGAAACATTTCTGACGTCCAAACCTGCAGAGGTGCACAGGGCCAACATCAAATACATTCATGTTTTCCTTAAAAAACGTGCTTCTTAAAATGTCTGGTGCAGCCTTTTTTTATTCATAGATCAATTATTATTTATCCATTGATTTCAAATTCCATATCTGCTTATACTGTCACTAATCTATCTTTTCATTTCAGTCCTATTTATTCCTCGTAACCAAATACAATTTCACACATTTCACTCTGCACATAATATCAAGCAATTGTTATTCAAAGATAATACTCACATCATGCTGTGGTAGATTCAGGAGTCTCTCTCTACGGTGAATACCAAATCAGTCAACGAGGGGGAAAAGAACATAATTTATTGAGTTTTATTTTCCTTTAGGTCTGATGTATATTGCAGTGATCAGTAGGAGGCACTTCAACTCAAGGTGCAAAATGATTTATTGAGTTTAGATACAGTGCAGACTCTACAGCACATGTATTTCGAACGATGGATCATATGTGGACTGTGAGGGCTGGTGTATAAACCACATTGTTGAGTGATGGTCCGTGGGCACAACAGTCTATATACTGTACTCCTGGTGTTGGGCTGTTTTTCATGACAATAGAAGGAACATATTATTACTACAGGAACCATATTTTAGACCAGTGTAAAACATCACACAATAATTGAATCAAATCAATTCATCTTTTGTTGTTGTCGACTTAAAATATACAATTTATTTTCACTTTAAAGCCAGGCCTTTTATGTGATAGAAGTCAGGCAGCAGGGTTGAAGGATGCTGAATTCTGGGTTTTTTTTATGCTCAGACTCAAATACTGGAATACATTTGGTAGACCTTTCTTTAAGGAGTGCTCAAAGTGTCAAAGACAACATCTTACTGTATATA